CTTTAGAGTTTCCCCAATGGGTGGAGTAATGCTTTTTCATCTTAAGTAAATATAAGGTGGACACTTGAATGTTGCAGAACATTTTTTAATATTACTAAGATGGAGTATATTTTCATAGAGTAACTTTTTAGCATATTTGCATCTTTGTAACACCTGAGGGTTATTGTGTTATTGAAATTTGGACTAGTTTATATGTGAATACTACATTTTGTACATACTACATGACAAACATTGTGTTAAATTCTTTATTAATGCAATTTAATCAATTCTTTTGTATGAACTTATGATGTAGGTATTATAATCTATATAGCTTAAAGACTTTAAATGTCTTTTTGTACCAATTTTTAATGCCATAATGTCCTGGGCTTGGTTAAAATGATGAATATGTGGGTTAGAAAAGAAGAGTCAAATTATGTTTAAGTTCTGTTCCTTTTTAACACCAATAATGCTTTAGAGAAGTTTTTACTACTGATCACTGCTTATTGGTCATATAACTATCATTTTATAGGGTGGTACTTTAAAAAGATCATGGAAAATGACTCCTACAAAAATATTTTTCTGTTTCAAAAATTTGCAGGGGTATTGATGTATTGCAATGGGTTAACTTGCTGTTTGGGATTTCCACATCCCCTTTTGAAATACCTGTTTCAGCCTCAATTACTACAATTTCGATTCGAATGAAACTGCAAGATTTTTTTGTTTGTTTCAAAAATTTGAGAGGCTATTGCTGTAGTGCAATGGGTTAATTTGTTTGGAATGTCCACATCCCATTTTGAAATACCTATTTGCGTCTCAATTAGTACAATTCCAATTTCTTCCTGTTAGCTAATGCATCCTGAAAAATAACAGATGATGACTCAGGTGCTTGCAGTCCTGCTACTCATTTGGGTGACCAGGCGGATCTGGTCCAACCCGCCATCTTGCAGGTATTTGGAGAGCAATCCTATGATTCTTTCTTTGCCTTTCATCGTCTGCTAGGCTATCTTTTATTTTATTTTATTTATTTTATTTTATTTATTTTATTTATTTTTTTTTTCGGGTCAATATTATTATTTTTTCTTTTTTTTTAAATTTTTATTTTGACATTCTTTACATAGTTAATTAGGGTAAGAAGGGTAAGAAGGTTCAAGGGCTACAGAAAAGTGGATAAGACTAGCATGTTTTCCATATTGTTACCTTCATGTTTAAAGAGGGGTATGAAGGGAGAAGGCCCACCCAATTTCCCACCCTCCCCAGGTCCCTGAGGTTCTTGCTCAAGTGGTTTTGATATTGCAACAGTTATGAATCGCTGTCAATCTTGCCACTCCAAGCACTATGAGGTCTTCGAAAAATCCAATGATTGACATAGTCCATCATAGCTGAGATGATTGGTTGACCTGTTCTGTCTTCTCTCTTTTCTTTGTTAGGGTTCTGAGTCCAGCATTTAGATTAGGAAGATCTCCAAAGAAACTTCTTGTATGTGCTAACAAGTACAGGGCCTGGCACCGTCCATCACCCCAATCAGCTGGTGGTTGCAATTGCTGGGTTGGTTCTGTTTTCACTCCCATCTTCCACTGGAACCAATGGGTGTTGCAGTCCAGCCTGGTTCTGCCCTGCACATACTTGGCCCTCACCTAAACCAGTGGGAGCTGCAGCCTAGTTGGAGCGACCCACAATAACCCCCACCAGGCCCACCCCCTACCCTGGTTTGCCAGTAAGTGTAGCAGTAGTCCAGTCTGTCCCACACCCCATTCCACCCCAGCCGCTATCTTAGTTTTATGTCCTCCTGTGGAAGTGGTACCCCAAGAGGGATGAGCCCACTATTTCCCTCCCAGGCCTCTCCCACTCCCAGATTCCAGCTGATGCTGCGTCTAAGCCCGAACAACCCTCGCCCACTTTAATTTTGTTTGCACCAGTAGGAATAATCTGCCCAGCCCGGCTTTTCCCTGATCTAGTCCACATGAGGCGAACAGGTGTGGTAGCTCTGCCTAGTCTGGTCTGCCCCCATCCCAGCCTATGCTCTCCTGCGGAAATAGCTGTCCAGCAAAGGAACCCTCCCTTATTCCCCTGCCGGCTCTGCCCACTTCCTTTCTTGTTCTCAGGTTGGTTGGGCGCTGCGGTCCCTTCCGGTACAGGCAACCTCACCTCGGCATTCCATAATGTGCACTAGTCTTTGTTGCGACCAAACCTGGTTCGACCCACACTGGTGCCTGGATTTGCCAGTGGATGACGTGGACAGATTCAGCCTGGTCTTGCCCCCACGTCAGCCAATTTTATGCCAGTGTGTAGCTTTCCATGGCCTTTTCTGGGCTGTTTCCTATCATGTTTCTTGCACTGACCTGCCGGGTCTGTGTCCTGCCAGAGGAGTTGCTCAGGCTCCTCCATCAGAACCTCTCCCAATGCCAGGTTTCACGCTTACCAGTGGGCCCATGAGCCAACCCTACTCAGTCTACCTCCTGTCCTAGCAGGAACAGTGGCTTTTCCTGATTGGCCTTCCACCCAATCTGGTTCTTGTTGTTGGATGTTCCAGCCCAGCCATGGTTTGTCCATACCCACGTATGGCTCACATATGGCTCAGTAAAAGTTTGAGACCTTGCCTAGCCCATTGCACACCTGCCCTGGTCCTCCAGAACACCAGGGGGTGTTGGGGTCTGGCCCGGTTCGGTGCATCCAATCCCAGTCCACACTTGTGCCAAGGGAGACTACAACTGTTTCCAGATCAGAACACAGCCCCCCTTCCAGGCCACGTGCCTCTTGGTGGGAACCTCAGCCCAGCTAGGGTTGTTGCTCCCCAACCGGGTCTGTTCCCAGCCATAGATCACTTGCCTGCCAATGGATGCTCTGACTCAGCTTGGCACAGCCCTTCCCCTGTCCCGAACGCTGCCATAGACACTGTGGCTTAGTGTTCCTGGCTCCCACAGACCAGTAGGTACAAGATCCTAGCTCGGCATGACTTCTGCTCCCTCCTGGTTTCTAATTTTACTTGTGGGCTAAGGATTGCTCAGTCATGCCTGATCTACTTTGTTGCATTACCAGTTGACACATTAGCCAGCTGTTGGAGCTACTTTTGCAGGACAAGCCCCAAGCCATAGCTTCTGCATGGACTGGTATTTGGTGCTCAGCATTATTAGTGATTACAAGTTTTACAAAGGAAGAGTTACTGCCTGTTTCAGGTCCAAGAAGCACAACGGGTTCAACCTGGAGCTAATTAAGCAGCGACTCAAAGAACCAAATCCCCAGAGCTTCCCGGCTGGGCAGCCAGCAGGCAGAGCCTGGACTAAATGGCGCACTGGCCACCCGGGAACAGCTCACCATATGCACAGGGCGGCTGTCCGGGATCCTGGCATGAGATGCCCCATCCTGAGACCCACCCTAGGCTATCTTTTAAATAGATAAATATTTAACACACTTGAAATTCATGCATAGGTTTCTTATAACATGCATTTCCATTATATTTTTGAAGATCTAGCATATGTACAGATTCCAATTTTTTAAACTAAAATAATTTTGTCTTTGAGTTTATTTTCACACAAGTTTCTTGAAGTACCAATGTTGTGTTTTTCCTGGTGGTTTTTGGGAGACTTTTGAATAGATGCTGTGAAGTATCATTGTTAAAACCGTTAAAAATAGTTTAAAACCATAGAAATAGTTTAAAGAATGCTGTAACAGTGTAGAGCAGCAGCAGAAAACCAGAAGAAATATCAAAATAAAGCAGGAAAAGATAGGAAGAGTGTTGTTTGTGATGTCTGGAAAAATGTTGCTATCTTGTTCCGAGTGTAATCTACATTTTGAGAGAAACTTATGGCACAACTGGTTGACTGATTATGGAGAAACATTCCATAGATTTTAGGACTGTTTTCCAAAGTAGGAGATAGAGAATTCCCGGACTGTCTAGTAGGAAGCTGTGAAATTTAGATTCCACTAGGCACACTCTTTTTTCTAACACATTTGTGAGCAAGCTGAAGATGCAACATTCTATAAGGTATTGCTTATTGCAAGTGTTTAAGTGGGGACCTCCATTTACTTCTCTCTGCCCTTGGAGAGCTTTTGGCATTTCATCTGGACATGATGAAGCTAGGTTGTGATAACTATTTTCTTGTGTATCCTTCAGTACATGGTGTGGTAGTGGTACAGTTTGACTGCCTCATTAGCCTCAAGTTTCTGTGTGCCAACGGTCTTAATAATAAAACCACTTTTTACCAAAGTTGACAATTGTGAATTATTAACCATGCAGGATACAAAATAATACATTCTGATGTAATTATGACAATCAGTAATTATTGCAAATGAATGACTCAATTTTTCCTTCTTAGCTATGCATTTTGTGCTGAGTGATGTTATCTAACAGAGGGGCAGAGAGAAAAATGAGGCCAGGTGTTAGGTTTTGTAAGGTTTTAGTCATGTTCCCCAGAGGAATGGAAAGGAACTTAATTTGAGTTTGAATTAAAGCTTCATTCTCTGAATGAGAATACTAAGAAAAAGAGATAAGAGAGCTGGTGACCTCAAAATTTTAAACATTCTAACCAGAGGGACACACCTGCTTTGTGTGACAGGTGTACACTGAATTATACACTGACAAATGTCCTGGGTATTCTAAATAATGATGTCATCCAAATACCACAGACAGAAGTGATGCGTAACTGTGTTCCAGTTTTGTTCAGTTTCATTAGGTTTTCCCTCAAGACGAAACCGTATCTTAGAATAATAGCATTGATCTGAAATTACCTAGAAAGATGTTACATATGGGTGGGAAAGGTCTACGCTGAATGGAACCTGCATATCTTCCCAAAGTAAAATGCACCCAAGGTATACAACAGACTTTTCAGAGCTCTGTCCATGATTTCAAATAAAAAATTCAGTCAAAGGCCACACTAAGAAGAGTACCATGAAAAAAAACACAAATTTAATCCCTCTGTAAGTAACACATGACCATCACAATTAAGTTCCACTTTGCAAATTTTACAGCCAAACAATAGTGCAAACTTCATGATTTCAAGTTAACTTAAGACATTTTGAAGCTGTCACTTCAAATTACTCTCTGAGAATATGGAGATGGATAGAAATATCTTTGCTTGGTTTTTTAGAGGATATTGCAGCCCGATGATTTTTTTGCATTTTCTTTGATATACTGGATCTCTTTTGCAAGTTTCTGACTCTCTTCCTTAAATCCCTCATTGAGAAGTTTTTGTTGTTCCTAAAAGGAAGAGTAGAGAGTGAATCTGTACAATGTAACACATATCCTGTACTTGTGAAATTAATTTCCCTTTTGGTAATTACTGTTGTCTCTCATGGATTGTATACAAATTGTTCCAAAATTTTCCCTTGAAATCCTCTCCTCCCTTAATCTCTCTCTCTCTCCCTTTCTTTTCCCCTCTATCTCCCCTGTACCAGTTTATACTTCAGAAATATAAACACAGTTTCTAAAATATTGGCAACATAGGATATTATCTTTGAAAATCTTCAATCATGTACAATGTCATCTTTCTGCAAAGAAAATAATCTGTTTTCCCCTCCATTTCTGATCTGTAAGTACAGATTCAAGTATTTATCTAGGGAGATCAAAGTAGATAAGCTCTAAGAGAAAGCTAAATAAATGATTCATAGTCAAGGAAGATATTTGAGCCTACAAATTGGTAATACTTTTAAAACTTTATGTGCAGAAATAAGAAAAATAATGGGGCAGATCAGGAGCTTGTTTCACATGGGGAATTTTTGGGCCAGATTCAGGAAAGCTACAGAATAAAACTGGAAAAATACTGACAACACGGGTACATAGGCAGTGTACTTAAATGGGTAGGGTTTGGGAGATCTTCCTGGTCTTTAAGGTGCTGGACTATCAGGTATGGGAGAATAAAAATCAGTTTGGATTCCACTCGCTAGGAGAAACAGATTGACTATTTCATCCGTGGTCTGATGTAGAAATGATTTCACATGAAGTTAAACTTTCCACTTATCATTTGATAAGATAATCCTGGGATTGTAATACAAGATTTGATTATGGCATGTCTGTTAATTTCTTGTCCTTGCCTAACAATCAATAACTTCTGTTTATTAGTGATATGATGTAAAAGGATTATATGGAATTTTGTACAGCAGTTAGATAGCCTTTAGTAACCAGTGATGGCAAGGAATCAAAGAAAAAGAAGATGAAATACAGATTTTAGGCTTCATATTATTTGGTTACAGTTGAATTTTGATTTGGGGCATTAGAAGAGAAAACTGAGATTGATTAAATACCAGAAGTTTAAAAGTAAGCATCCTCTGGTGCTCTGCCATTAACTCTGCCCGATCCTTCTCCATCTTCACCATCGCTTGTTTCAAAAATTCCTCATAACTTTTGGCTTTCTCTTGCAATATTTGTTCATTTCTCTTTTGGTATTCCTGTAACATTTCTTTGGCTTTTTCTGCAGCTTCTGCCTTTATACGTTCAACTGTGGAAGAGAAATAAGAAGATTAAATTGTGTGTGCTCTTCTTGCTTTTAATAATTCATTCTTTTTATAATTAATAATAATTATAAATAATAATAATAAATAATTTATCCTTTTAATAATTTATTCTTGAATAATTGGGAAAATTCTTGGGGAATACTTTTTGTACTGAGTAACTAAAAGACATGTGATCTTAAGAAAAAGAACCATGGAACAATGACTAACAAACTTTTTCTCTTCAATAGAGATTCTGCATGGAGAAATACTATTAACCATCATTTTCAGGGCTTTTCAACTAGGTAGATTATTTTCAACTGTTCTCACCTTCAATATCTTTTTCCTTTTCTGTGAGTGACTGATCTGTCAGTAGAAGAGCTTGAGTAACATCCTCCTTGGAATCTAAATATCTTTTCAATATCTCATCTGCCTATTAACATGGAAGACATTAGAATTGGGAAACAAAAAAAATTAAGAGTTAGGAAACAGAGACTAAATGTTCTGTAATAAATCTGTTGATTGATTTTTACTTCTCATATAACAATTAACTTTGTGCCTCAAATGACATTTGAAATTTAATATATCTAAAACCCAAATCTGGATCTCTCTCTCAAATCCATTCGTTTGCAATGATCCCAAACTTATGATTGAAAAAGTATGAAACGAAGAGGGAGAAAGAGAGAGGAAACTTCCAAGTGTTAGTTCACTCCTCAAAAGCTCCCATCAACCAGGTTGGGGCCTAGCCAAAACCAGGAGACCAGAACTCCATCAAGGTCTGGCTTGTTGGTAGAAATGTCCCAGACACTCGAGCCATCATGTGGTGCTTCAGGAGTTGAATTTATAACAAAAGAACTGGGATTCAAACAAGGCATGATGGAATGAGAGTGTCCCAAATGCCAGTACACTGCAATTTCCCTGATTAGCAAACTTTGTATAACTCTTATCTTTGATGTCTTTCCCCCATTTTATCCCATATATGAGTATAATCACTAGTTGGTTGTGTTGGGTTTAGTGTCAAAATACAGTATGTTATATTGCTTTGTTTTCTACCTTTCCCCACATTTGTCATGTCGTGATGCATTCATAAGTCAAAAAGTTAATCCTGTAGCAGTCAAAAGAATGACTTTTTCATTTAATAACTTGGGACAAATAATAGGAGGGGATATAGGAAGGAATGGAGGGGGTGTGATCCCCTCCATGTAAATCTGTTTTGAAGAAAAAAAAACTTCATATACGCATGTGAGATTATGTTTTTTTCTTTGCTATACTTATGATGAATTTCCTTTTCTTGAGAGCACTTTTTGTCATTGGACTATGACAACAGGAGGCATTCTAATCTCAATTCTCCACTTTGTTCTTTTTAACAGAACTTTGTATTTTCCTAGAAAGATATGGCAAATTAAGATAAAATATTGTATTTCTTCATGCCACACAACTGGAATGCCTTCAATTTTAACCAAAAACAGTGACAGGCATTGTAAGCTGCTTCCTGCAAATCTTAAAGGGACATGACTAAGAAACTCTTATTATTCTGTTTGTTCATCTTTTTTTCTTTCCATTTAGGATATGGAACTGAAAATGCTGAATCTCTAAGAGCTTTCTTAGCATATAAACTGACTTTGAATGTGGAGACAGGTATCAAAAGAGTTAGGGCAGATCAAAGGAAGGGTCCAGACGTCACCTTGTCACATCTGAGTTTTACTTTCCTGATCTGTGTCCACATTTTTTAAAAGTCTGTATAATTTTCAATGTAAGTAATATGCAATCAAACTTAATAGTAGTTTATAGAATCTGAGTGTGCCAGAATAGAATTGGTTAGAGCATAGATTATGCAAACTGGATTTGCACTCAAGCTGTATCACTCCGTACTTCTGTGGTCTTGGCTGAGCTCTTGGGCTTCTCTATGCCTTGACTTTCTTCATTCTTTAAAAGACACACAGTTCATAAGATTTCTGTGAGAATTAAGTGATTTATGCTCTTCATCCCTTTTGTGGAACACTGTGAACAGTATAGATGTGTCAACTTTTTCTTGTAATGGTTTGGCTGATATAATTTTAGCTGTAGATATTTTGTTAGAGGGTTTTTTTTTTGTCCATTTATTTCAGCTGCTTTGTGACTGACAACATATCAAATGCCTTGTATAAGATTAGCTTGAATTGAAGAAGGGGTGAATTTCATTCTGTAAATATTTTAAGAGCTCTATCTGAACCTCCATGATATAATCTATCTGTATCATGGAGGTGTCTCTTAGTGAATAAATCAGTGAGTGAGTGGCAAATGTACCATGAACCCATCACAGTGGGATTTGGAAGTGTCTCCCCAACAAGTCCATAAAAGCGTCACCTACTGCATAGTTTACCTGGATCCCCTTCCCAGGCTCCTGGTAGTACTTTTCCTTCAGCTCTTTGTTCTTCTGATAAAAGAGTCGGTAGCCTCCTGGTTTAGAATAAATGCCCTGCTTCACCTCTTTTTCTAGAGGACCAAAAATATCCTGAAGTAAAGCTGTGCAACGATCTGATGATTCTTTCTCATTCTTCTCACAAAAGTTATTTCGTTTTACATCCAGCTCGGCCTATGAAGTGACAAAAAATAAATAAAAAAGCATAAATGGTGCAGTGAAGCCACGAGTGAGATGTCAACTGTACACAGACTAGGCTGTTGGGAGACTGTGCTGTTGGCTACAGTCATTCTCACCTTGTGAGAAGGCGCATTATAGAATTTATCTAATTCTCTGCGATTCCCTGAAACTCCCTTCCTTTTTTTTTCCTTTCCTTTTTTCTTTTTCAGTTTCAGAGCATACCTCTCAAGGGACAGCACTAATTCACATGAAATTTTCCAGGTTTCTAATTTCAGAACTAGTTAGATCACACATGTTAGGCAAGCAGGTGGAGCTCTGGATCCACTTTGGAGTCTGAGAGGCTCACATTCTGGACACAGAGTCCATATCTGTAGGACATGAAGAATTACACTTATGCCCTGTCTCACAGGCTCATCAGGACTGTGTGACGTGATGTGGAATTAGATCCAAAGGTTTTTCCAAAAGCCCTTTAAAAGTAGTAAGGAATTGATTAGTATTTATTTAATGTGAGATTATATTTCTGTATTATGTCAACAGAGGGCTAACAAAAATGATACAATTTGCACCACAAATATTTTCAGAATTTTGAATATTATAGAATATCACACTTTGCTGTGTTAAATCACTCCAGATAAATATCAAGGCCTTTTTGTGTGTGTGTGTGCTGAGGTTGGAACAGTGGCAGCTGTAAACCAACCAGACACATCCTGCTTTCCAGAACCTTCGAAGGCAGCAATGATCCCTTACGCTATGCTGTCTTCCTTCTGGGGAAGAATTTCAGGGCCACTTGATATGGAATAGTTCTGCTTTAATTCAAAAGAAGGTGGGCTTAAGGACATGTTCAATACAGTTGATTTCTCCAATTTTCTGAATTTTTCCATGGATGTATAAAAATCCAATGGATTCCATCAGGGAATATAAAAGCTGCACATTTTAATTTTAAAAGAAAAAGAAATTGAAGTAGTCCTATGTAGATGCAGCTGGTGGTGTTGGTGCTAAGTCTCCCCCTGTGGTGTTGGTTTGATTCCCAGCTGTTTCATTTCCATCAGGCTCCCTGCTTATGGCCTGGGAAAGCAGCCATGGATCGCTCAAGCATTGATCCCCTATAGCCATGTGGGAAACCTGGAAGACACTCCTGGCTCCTGGCTTCAGATTGGTTCAGCGCAGACTGTGGACATTTGTAGAGTGTACCGGTGGATGGGACATCTGTTGCTTTCTCTCTGCAAATCCGCCTTCTCAATAAAAATAAACAAATCTAAAAGAACCCCATCACATGGTATCTATAGAGAGGGAATGAATTGAAATGCATTTTGTGAGAAAGATGGTTATGGTTTCATTTTAACATATAAGATTAAGCATATTCTATTATTTAATAATGTTAGTAAACATATACACGTAACTCAGTGCTATTCTTTTGAGATCTGAAGAATTTCTCTTCTCACTGAGAGCCTGTGTTTTTCTAACTCTCATAACTCATAACAGAAAATATACCGCTAATTCCTTCTGGAAATGTTGATCCACATCCCGAAAGGAATTCTTCATGAAGACATCAATGGCTTCTCTCTCAGTGATCCTGTGCAGGTCCAGCAGCTCCTGGAGGGTGTCTGTGGGCAGCTTCACCTTCTGGCTCATCTGCTGGTCATAGTGGGCAATGGCCTTTTGCACTGCAGCTGAGTTCTCTATCTGGGCCAAGGCCAACACTGCGTTCTCCATGCAGGGCAGATCTCCACTGCTGATGGCATTGACGTATGTCAGTACCAGGTTCCGTAGACCTACAAATCGAGAATTTTTAAAAAATTAATGACTATTGGGCCCGGTGGCTTGGCCTAGCGGCGAAAGTCCTCGCCTTGAACGCACCGGGATCCCTTATGGGCGCCGGTTCTAATCCCAGCAGCTCCACTTCCCATGCAACTCCCTGCCTGTGGCCTGGGAAAGCAGTCGAGGACGGCCCAAAGCTTTGGGACCCTGCACCCAGGTGGGAGATCTGGAAGAAGTTCCTGGATCCTGGCTTCAGATCGGCATAGCATTGGCCGTTGCAGTCACTTGGGGAGTGAATCATTGAACGGAAGATCTTCCTCTCTGTCTCTCCTCCTCTCTGTTTATCTGAATTTCCAATAAATGAATAAATCTTTAAAAAAATTAATGACTATTGACTTATAGACAGAGTATTCTGTATACTTTTAAATAAGTGTCATAATAGTTTTAAAGGTTTTCTGAGGAAGAATTGTGATGGAATCTTTTGTTTACTTCTAGATACAGAGGAAATCAAAATCTTCTTTTCTTCCTTCTTTAATTTAGTAAAAGTAGGTATTAGGCTGATGGATAAGGATGAAACGACATTTTGGGACCAATATTGTAAGTTTAGGACTTTTCTTACCTATATTGTCCTTTCCTAATTTCTTTTCTATTTTTTCCCTCTGCACTGTTTACTAAAAAGGCCACGGAATAAGTTATCTGACTCCCTCTTCCCTCCTTCTCTCTTCCCTCCATTTCTCCTTATCTCCCACTTTCATGAGGTTGCAGATTTCCTTGCTTCTTGGTTGTCTCTACATGCCATTATTTATATGTGAAGTTATTCCTAGCTACCTTTCTAGATAACTGCTATTTCTAAAGCTTTATTTCATTGTTTTGAAAGGCAGTGTTACAGAAAGCAGGAGAAACAGAGGGAGCTCTTCCAATCTGTTGGTTTACTCCCCAAATGGCCAAAAGGTCAGAGATGGGCTGATCTGAAGTCAGGACCAGGAGCTTCTTCTGGGTCTCCTTCATTGGTTCAGGGAGCCAAGGACGTGAACCATCCTTCACTGCTTTCTTTCCCAGGCCAAAAGCAAGGAGCTGGATTGGAAATGAAGTAGTGGGAGTATTAGCCAGAACCCACATGGGACGCAGACGCCACAGGTAGAGGTTTAGCCTCCTATGCTGTGTTGCTGACCCCATTCACTCCTATTTTCAAAATTCTCTTTCCTATATAAATAATTTCTCTCAGTTTAAATGATGTCTCATTATCCCATGCCTTTTACACATTCAAAGCAGCCTAATATTGATTTGCATGTTATGAAATTTTGTGCTTTTCATAAACCATATTCTCCCACCAACATACTAGAATAGGGTTATAAACAATCGTATTTAAATCTAAATACCAAGCTGTATGTACAAGAACAAGAAAATGGCACTATAATAAGTAGCAAAGTGTCATTTAAATATGACATTTATTTGAATTTGTTACTCTGTTTATGTGACTTGCAATAGGCCGTTTTATAAATGAGGACCTGAGGAGTTCATGGAAAGCGTTGCTAAGGCAGAGTTGGATTCTAGTTATTTCATTTTTTCCTTCTTTTTACTGTGACTATGAAATAATACAGCAAAGATTAGCTACTATGTAAGATTAAAATGTGTTTGTGTTGTGTTTTCCTTGGTGTCCTTGATTACTAATTTGTCAGAAGTGATTTTTATATCTCCCTTTCAAAATTTGTATAATGAGCAAAAGGAAAGTCTGTTTTAGGAGAGGGTAGAGGGAGGCGACTCACGAGGCCCGTTGACTGTGATGCCACCTGACAGGGTCTTGGCTTCAGAATTGTTGAAGATGTAGGAACAGAATTCAGCCTCTTGTTCTAGGAATTCAGGGTTCATATTTTCCTCTTTTACATGCTCCAGGTGGATAAGGAACTTCCTCTGAGCAGGACGGTCGAAGATGAAGCACTTTTTATTGGGGAAAAACTTTCGGATGCATAGCCGAGGCTCATTAAAGTTTTCTGTTTTTTCATCAGTACCTGCCAGAATGAAAATTAGAGAGAATACAAGTTGAAAGCAGTTTAGGTAAGTGTCTTTCAACCATAAAATTCTCATAAACATAGTATAGGAAGAAAACTTAAAATGATAATTGAGGAAAAAAGGAAATCAAATAATTAAAGAAAAGAAAGTTTTTCTCCAAAAACATGTAGAAAAGCAATGTAAAATGTATCACAATTATTTTAGTCAAGCAGCGTTTTCATTTCCTCAAATAGAGCAGTTATGATCAACAGTTATAAAGTGATCCTCTCCAACATCCACACAGAAATGTTTTATATAGAGATATCCAAGATGAATGAGAGGAAAATGATATACTGATTCTGAAAACAAGAAGATAATATAAAAAAGGGAGGAAGCGCATTCCCAGGGTACAACTGGCGAGAAGTTTCCAGTGGAAATTCTACGGATGCTGCCAAGTAGCAGGGATGGTATTTGCAGGCAACAGCAAATGAGACACTGCTGGCAACTCCCACAGCCACTGGCTGGAGGGGACATCATCTTGGATTGAGGTGAGATGAACCTGCAGCAGCCCATTGCACTGGTGTTTGGTCCAAAGAGCTAGCGGAAGGCCAGGCACCCACCTAACCCCATGAAGGAGCAGAAGATTTTGTTCCTCTGCTCCTCTCACAAAGGGATCTCATGACCAGAAGGGAGGAAACACCACGTTAATACGGCAAGAAGAGGCTGCTGAGGCACATGGGTGCTTGGGACATTCTACTAGAGTGATGTATCCAAGGTCCCCACTGACTGAATCTGGACTGGGGGGCTCGGTGGGTTGCACACGCCAGTTGGGCCCACAGAGCACTTCCCTTCCTTCACTCTATCTAGACACCTGCCCTCAAGGTAGAGCACTGTCACACCTCTAGCAGGTACACTGCTGCCTATGGAAATGCAGTTGCTCTTCTATGGGGAGGCTGAGCGAAATAGATCAGTTCCAAAGGGACAAATAATATATGATTTTCCTGATTTGTGGTAACTAATATGGAAACTTTAAAAAGCAATATATATGAGCAAAATTGCCATTTTGTTATTTGATTATTTATAGTCCTTGTCTATTCTCTTGAATAGCAGTTTTCATCTTATTACTGTTGAAATCTGTATTTGATCGAGGATTGAACTTGTGAATATAAAGCAAATGAAAGTATGTCATTATGGAATTTAAAAGAAAAACTAGAAAAGGAGAATAGCAAGGAGGGAAGAGCTTGAAATATCACTATGTTCTTAAAACTGCATATATGAGATACAGCAATTGCTTCCTTTTATGAATTTTAAAAAGTAAAAACAATTTGGGCCCAGCACAATAGCCTAATGTCTAAAATCCTTGCCTTGCACGCACCGGGATCCCATATGGGTGTCAGTTCTAATCCCGGCGGTTCCACTTCCCATGCAACTCCCTGCTTGTGGCCTGGGAAAGCAGTCGAGGACAGCCCAAAACCTTGGGACCCTGCACCTGCGTGGGAGACCTGGAAGAAGTTCCAGGCTCCTGGCTTCAGATCAGTGCAGCACCAGCCATTGCAGTCACTTGGGGAGTGAATCATTGGACGGAAGATCTTCCTCTCTGTCTCTCCTCCTCTCTGTATATCTGACTTTGCAATAAAACAAATATATATATTTTTAAAAGAAGTAAAAACAATTTAAAAAAGAAATACTTATTCTGATATCCTTTTTCCTGTGTTCCCCAACAACCACCAGGCCCAGTAACCTTGTCTTAGCTTCAGCGAATTCTCCAAATACTCATCAGCTGTAATGGGTTTCCCATCTGCTTCCAGTGCCAGGGAGAAATCTCTCAGAGTCCACACGAAGTTTGGAAAGAAGCCCACAAAATTAGCTGAGTCTTCCACTTTACTGTCAGTAGTTGAAGATCTTGCCCTGATTCGCTGTGTCAACTCTGTCACAAAACTGTGAACCCAGATTAAGGAAGTTTCAGCAACGTGCCATTGTTTTATATATATAAATATTTGTAATGCATATTTATATATTTACTGCTTGGGCTTACCTAAAATAACTCACTTTTCTTTATTAACTCATCCCTTAATAGATACCCATTCATAGAACTCATTCATTCACAAATGTTGTCTCAGTACTTAGTATGCGAGGTATTAAGAACTAAGGACTAGGTTCTTATGCCTAAGATCTAAGAAAACCTTAATGAATGAGGTAATGTCATTGTCACAAAGCTTACATTCTACCAATGGTGAAGGACATCATCTGTGAATGGTATGGGGATTTACTATAATGGGAAAGACTGGGGCAGGAGTAGCTTGGGACAGAGAAATTGAGCATTGTGATTCTTGCATTTTAAATGTGGGCTCTTTCCTATGCATCTAAATGGAGATGTTACAGCATCTGCTGGATATGGAATTTGAACTTGTTACTGGAAAGCCTTGGTACCGATGAGATCACCTATGAACAGGAGGAGAAAATGTGAAAAGTGGCACAATAACTAAGAGTTAGGGACCAGAGTACGAGTGCGCATCAGAGAAAACATCAGGTATGTTTCTGAAAGAAAATTTAGATTGATTTACTCAAATGTTGCTGTGACATAAAATACAATGAGACTTTCCATAAAGAGAGAACAGTGTGGTAATGACCTTGATAAAGGTAAATTAAGTGAACTTTGAAAGAGAATTTAGCAAATGTAATTTATGAAAGTGATGGCATAGCTATGGATCTAAAACAGTTAAAGCAGGTGGTGGAGAATGAAGATATGAGAAGCTGTAGAATTGAGATCAGAATGTTAATTGCTACTAAGAAGACATGAAAAGCTGAGATCTTTAACAAATGAAGGATGTGTTATTGCTGGGTAGTTGGAAGAGGACTGCAACAAATAAGTGTAATGGCCATGGTAGCCTAAATGGACATACACCTCAATGGCATGGCAGAGTAACGATAGGATCTTCAAAAACAGTAATAAGGAGCATGGATGCTGAATAACTCATCTCTGCGACCTATGATATTCAATATGTTCTATTAAAGATAATCACAACACAGGTGCTTAGGAGGAGATAGTATGTAAGACGGGTTATTTACATTATAGTGTAGAGTGAGGAATCTATGCTAATAATAGTAATGACCATTATAATTATATTTTGATATAGCATAAGTTATACAAATATTATGTTATAAAACATAATTTCATATAATATTTAGAGTTATTAATAATATAAATAATTATAAAATATAAAATTGTAAAATATAAAATATTAAAATTAAAATATATTGAGATGATAATAAGGGTATAGCGATTTCATAAAGTGAAAGCACAGACTGCAAGGTATATTGAGCATGTGGACTGAGCAGAAGAGTAAGTCAGACAGGGAGTGTACACAACTTCGTGCAGATGACTGGTGAAAGGTGCATGTGACCTGGAGTACTTGATGTAGTGCTGTCAGAACCTCTGAAAGGATACTGCAGTTGGTCCATGGCCTGCTGATTGATGGTTCCAATGCTATTATATACGAAGGTGCTGCTCAGGAGGATCGCCAGGGCAAAGATCCAACAGTCATTCTGTTTGTTCCCCTGTAAGTCAGTGTGAGAGTCACATGAGAGGTCAAGAGAATGTGCTAGAAACTCAGTTACGCAAAGACTGAACTTCAGCTTTCACTCTTGTTACATGTAGAAATTTGAGCAATCCACTTCCCCATGTGTTTTTTCCATTTGTATAAAGAATTTATGAAAATTCAATGCATGCTATTGTGAGGGTACTTTAAAATGTTCATAGGCTATGAAATTAAGTGGTAAGTTTGAACAAGGTTTCTGGTGCAGTGGTTAAGATGCCTGATTCCATGTGGAAGTGCTGGGTTTGAGTCACATCTCTGCTTCTGAATCTCCTGTTAATGCGCACCGTGGAATGCAGAAAATGCTGAATACCAAATCAAATGCTTGGGCCCTTGCCCTGCTAATGTTTGTGCTGGGTTGAGTTCCCAACTCTTGCTTTTGGGCCCAACTCCTTTCTTTGGGTTGTTACAGGCTGGGGATTAAATCAATGGCGGGAAAAGCACTTTAGTATGTTGAAAATCATTCTTCAAAAGCAAATCTAATTTTCTGCAAAAAGTTTTAAAACTCATGTAAAGTACAGAAGTGCTTTTATTATCCTCATCAGAATATTTTTCTCTGATATGAGAAAAGGATCAGAAATGCTATTGGATTATCAATTATTTTACAAGTTGGCTTATAAATAATTAGTTGAATTCATGGCCCACTCTCAATTCTTGTCCTAAGGTTAGTAAAAGAATAATAATTTGCATGATTAGCATAAATCAGAGGGACAGTAAAAGAACAAGAGGGTCATTGTTCTCGTGTAAGAATTGGGAATTCTCTTCTACCTTCTCTACATCTCCCATGCCTTCGGTGTCAAGCAGAATGAGAGTGTGGTCTGACTTCTTAGGGTGGGGTATGCACCACATCCAGATGCCTTTGGTGTGAGATTGCACCGTGTATCCCAGAGAAAAACCTGCAGAGGAGACAAGGTATCAGAGTGGAAGTTGGAAGGTTAGAGGCAGGCAGTCTGTGAAATGGAGAGAAAATTAGCATAATGTATGGAGGGAGTTAAAAAAGACTGCAACACAAGCATTTATATTAATTATAATACTAGAACAAGGGAAATTAAAACATCAACACACACTAAAACATTTATTTTACCCAATACTTTAGTAGATGTTTGCCATTACTACAGAAAAATTATAGTAAGTGATTTAAAACTCTCATGCAATTTTCTCAATATTTTATTTCTTTCATGTAAGTACATTTATACCTTTAAAATAAAGGCCAATGGGATGAAAGAATGAGTTTTCTTTCATGCTCCAAATAGACTACAAGGAATCCAGGAACAGGCTAAGTTAACTCTCAATGTCCATTCTCTCCCTGTCCTTTTCTCTTTACTTCTCCCCACTGAGTGATGACAGTTTGGGTGGACAGAGGAGACCCCGCAGAGCTCAGCTGGTGTCACTCACCCTTTTCCTTCCCAGCCAGCTTATTCATCAGGTAGGACTTGCCCGTGCGGTAGAGCCCCACGATAGCCACCACCACCACAGGCTGTGTAATGGCAGACAGGATCTGCAAAGCTCCCTGGTTGGCTCTCAGTTGCCCATCAGTGTTCTCAATGAGGCACATGGGACTTGGCATGTGGATTTCTGACTCCATGTTCCCTTGTCTGAAAGAAAGCAATGTCTAGTCAGCTGACAGGAATTGCACAACTGAATTAAACTTTTGTTTTCGATCCTTGCACTTTGCTCCCATGCATTTTTAAATGTCCTTATTGGCAGTCCTATAGAGTGACCAATGATTTTTCTTTTAACATAACTTTACTATATATTTACAGATAATTTTCAAAATTGCTATGAAGATTTTAGAAACATTTTTCAAGTTTTCCAAATGTGATTGTCTAACAAAACTCTAAAACAATTACCAAGCCATCATTTTAACACAGCTTTAACGAACCTTCACACCCTGTCTTCACAATAAACAGTTAATGTCCTTTTTCTGCTGCCCCATCGGTCCAGGATTCATTGCATTTAGTTACTATTCTCCCTCAGAGCCCTCTCATCTCTTATGACTGTTTATTGTGTCCTATATTTCTTGATTTTAAAGTTCCAAAGAGTACTGGCCTATAATTTGTAGACTCCATCAACTTGGGTATTTCTGATGCTTCTTCATTATGAGGTTGAACTTTCACATTTTTTTGGCAAGAACAACAGAGAAGTGATATTGACATGGAATTTTTGATGTTATGCCTGTAACTTTTGCTACTTGATTAGGATGTTGTTATATTTTTGTACTATAAAAACACAGTTCATCTCTTTTTTTCTAAGTCTATTTCTTAGGACCCTTTTGTACAATGCTGATATAATCTAATTACACTTTCATGCAGTTTTGGTCTCCCTAAGGAGAAGAATCTGCTAAGCAGATATACAATGACCAAGAGCAAAAGAAGAGACAGAGACACAGTGAATATTGCTGAAGACGCCCCTGCAAAGGAGCAAAATCCTTTGCCAACCTCAGAGTTCACTGAGGAAGGAATTGAGAAAATGGCAAATAAAGAATTCAGAAACACTTGTTATAAAAACATAAAACCCATTATATGTTGCCTACAGGGGACACATCTCACCAAGAAAAAACAGAAGAAACTATATCTCATGGATGTTGATGATTTTAATTTCAGTTTTCTTTCTTCAAAACAGCTTTTATTCTCATATTAAATTTTCATTGATTCATAGCTTATACAGTAGCATACTTTTCTTCAAGAGAGTTCTTGATTTTTTATATCTTTAGCAATGCATTAGTCATTCAGTAGCGTGTTATTTAACTTCATGGCATAGTTATTTCCTATTTTTCTTACTGTCATTGATTTTGTGTTGTGGCTTTTCATTTAAGGGGATATATAGTAACTGTGCAATGGAGACTATCATATCCAGATGTGAAGATACAATACAGTATACATATCTACTTTCAGATTAAAAAAATAGAGTCCCGGAAAAACTGTCAAATATATCTTGACAAGAGGATGCTGGACATTCTGCCATTGTCCATGCCCACAATGATGAACTTATGAATGTTTATGAATAACTATGCTATAATAATGATATAGGGGAACTCAGGAGGGAGGGAATTGGGGAGGGGATAAGGGAAATCCCAGGGCCTATGGAACTGTATCATAAAATGATAATAATGATAATAGTATTAATAATAGTAATAAATGAAGACAAAACCCCAGTGTATTCCAAAAATGCCAACTTTGTTTTCTCTTATCCAATCAGTCTACTACATATTATCATGCAAATGACCATCACCTGCAGACTTTATTCTGTGGATCTCTAGACTGGCGTTTGGAGAAGCCTTCAATGTACTCCCTCAACATTGCCCTTCTCCAGCTTAAAACAGCCAGAGCAGTCAAAGTCACTTTACCTAACATCAGTTAGCATCACCTCTTTGTAGGGAAAGTGGTAAGACAAAAGAAGCAATCAGATACAGGTGGATAAGTGGCCCCACGGTACAATAATGCAGTCACTGGCATCAGCAGGTGAGGTAACATTTGCCAAAGGTTCCAACTGTTCTCTGAGTTCTGACCTCTGAATGCCTCAGGATCAGCACATCAGTTTCACCTCATTAGCATATCTACACAAAAGAAAGTGATTCTGGCATTTGTTTTTAAAATGATTCAGAGTTTTTACCTTACTAGTATATATTACTACAGAAAGATCCCCTGTTTAAAAGTGTGCTAAAAACCCTTTTGATGATTCTCTATATCTACTCCTGAGCTCCCTTCTGGGCACTGACAAGAACTTTTGTTTTCAGTTAGAAAACTTCTTTCGCTTTGTTTATACATTTATTTGAAAGAGAGAGATGTTTTTCTTATTCTGTACACTCTTCAACTGTATGCCACAGCTACTACTTTTATATCATGAGCTGGGAACTCCATATAGTCTCCCAAGTGGGTGTCAGGGCCCCAAGTACTTGAGCCGTTAACTGTTGCCCTGGCATGAGCATTAGCAGGAAACTACAGTTCAAAGCAGAGCTTGAACTTGAACCAAGCGCTTTGAGATTCGTACATGCCAGGGTACATCCTCATGATTGTGTACAATGTCTGCATCAAAGACTTATTTTATCTCTCAAGTCTGCCCTGTGTAAAGTATTGTATATATGAATGTTGCCATTATTCTCTTTGAGTAGGGCTTGATAATTGGATAATTTGTAATGTCAAAACAGTAAAATGTTTCCTATCAGCCATACATTGGCTGCTTGTTTAAACGCAGTGCCTCAATTTTGGTCATTTGAAGTGCTCATGATAGTAGCAGTTGTGAAACTTTAGGGATTATAAGCAAATAGACCTTGATCAATGAAGTTTTCATTCTTAACCTATAATAAGGAGCAAGTTGCCTTCACTCTAGGATTGATTGCCTCTGATGATTTTTATCTAGCAGAAGAGTTCTTCACTCACTTTTAAACATCTTCCGTAGAAGATGGCAAAAATTCATTCATTTTCCATGATTAGAATCTATCCCAGAGAGACCCCTGGAATTCTTGTGGTCTATGACTAACTCAGAAAAAAAGCTTGCCTGATGATTTTACAAGCTCCCAAATTGCAATAACCTACTTCTATTTTCAGATCTTTTGTGGGCTAAAGTAATTTATCATAAGCTGTAGAAGTTGGCATCAAAGAAAGAGATGGGATCTGAATTCTATTACACAGATACCATTAAAGACAAAGGTAATTTAAAATGTTGTCAAGAAGGAAATGATATTAAAATATTCATCTTTCTGTAGAGATGCCATGTCTGCTGAGGGCTAATTCAACAATTGGGAGTAGAAAATTGAGAAACATGCTGCGCCTGATAATACCAAAAATTTATCTGAACTGGTGTACTACATCAGAATGAGCTGCAGCCAAAATTGGACATGGTCCTTCTAGCGAAAATGTACTGGCCCTTCTAAGCTTTGTCCCAGCCCTGCCCAGTCTTACCTGGATCAGAGATTCTTCAGAGTTGGGAAGAAAATGCTTCGAGAGAGTATTATGGGTACATGTCCTCCACTTTTTATTTTGGCTGTACTACTCCTTTTTAGTTTTTATATTACTAAACTTTGTACTTTCATTTCTCTAATTCCATGTAATTTTCTGGATAAACTTTATAACCCTATGAATAACAGTGAAATGAAACATCAAGCATTTAGAGAAAAATAAGATAAAATAGAAAACAGTTGAATATGAAACAGAAAGTATGGAAAGCCTTGATTCCGCACCCAAAAGAGGAACCGCTGAAAGACCTAAAGTGGGGAGGGGGTTTGACATGAGATCTCAACTAGAACCTTCCAATTTTAGTATCAGAAAAGATCTTTCAGATCTTTTAAAAAATAGCTTTGGGTCATTTGTGATGATTCAGTTGACTAATCCCCCTGCTATAAGAACTAGGATATTGTATGGACTCCGGTACAGTTCTGGCTGCTCCAGTTCTGCTCCAACTCCCTGCTTATGGCTCAGAAAACAGAAGAGGATGGTCCAAAGCCTTGGAACCCTGAACGCACATGGGAGACCTGGAATAAGCTACTGGCTCCTGGCTTTGGATCAGCTTAGCTCTGGCCATTGCAGCCATTTAAGGAATGAACCCATGTGTGAAAAATCTTTCTTTGTGGCTTTTTCTCTGTAAATGTGTCTTTCCAATAAAAATAAATTCATTTTTATAAAAGAATAGCTCACAGTGTCTCTTAAAATAATGCCATTCATTTAACTTTTGTTAACTTCTGTTTTGAATCATGGGAGTCAAAAAGCCTCATCAGTAACTAGCTCGTTGTCTGCTTGGCTTGAATGTTAGATTCAGAGAGAACTTCTCCTTACTCATGCTTGGAACTGAAAACTTTAGGTGCCCTGTTTGAATGTCAATGTCTTATCACACAGTTTTGAATTTTCAGAACCTGAACAAAATCCTGGTATTTACTGTTTTATCATAAATCAATAATGAGGCTAGCTTCTACTTCCTACGCTTCTGATTGACTTGATGATAATTTTGTCCTATTAATTTTCCCTTCTTTTCCTTATCACACATATTTTTACTCCAGTGTTATAGCAAGATTTAATAACTTGTTAAAATCACAGAACTAGTCGGTAACATTGTAACCCAAGATTGGTCCACCTCCAGTCCTGATATTCAATGGCATTTACTGTGGCCTTGCCCACACACATTCTAGCTCTCACTGCTGGGTGCCTTAGCTCAGGCCTGCCTGGTCTACCCCCAGACCTGGCTCTCATGTTTATCTGCAGGTGCTGTGGCCTAGCTCACCCCATCCCACACTTACTCTGACTCTTTCGAGTGTCAACAGGTGCTGGAGCCTACCCTAGTCTGGCACATCCTGAGATCCAGCCCACACACATGCTAAGGGATGTTGTAGCCATTTTCAGTCTGGTCTGTCCCCATTCTTGGTTCTTGCATTCATCGGTGTGAACTGCAACCCAGCCAGGGCATCCCTTACCAGGACCACTCCAAGCCACAGATCTTGCACATGCCAATGTTTTCTCTGACCCAGCCTGGCATGGCCTATTCTTCATCTTGGCCATTGTCACTGAATGATTCAGGCTAGCCTGGCCCAGCCCAGCCTCAGTCCCAACTCTTGCCAGTGGGTGCTGCAGCCTAGGCCTGCCCAACCTGTCCTAC